ACTAGGTACCCATCTAGGAACCCACATTTTTACATATAAAATTAATTTAAAACAATGTATATAAGCCCATATAGTACTTTTTAGTTAATAAAATTAATCTAGTTTATTATATACTTTTTTACGTAGATTAAAAAAGTTTAAAAATTTGGTGCTTTCTTGGTGCGTCGTATAATTTCACTTTGTATATGTTTAGGTACAGATAATTGTTGATACTGGTTTAATTTTTAAATCATTAATTTAATATTTTGTTAATCCAAAAAAGGCAAACAAAAAATCCTTGCCACATACAGTGTAACAATAAAAATTAAATATATAAATATAGCATGTTATGTATTAAGGGACTAAAATATTTTAGTCCTAAGGGAGTAACAACGACACTTTAGTCCCTAAAATGAAAGAGTAAATTGCATGGTTTAGTTCCTTCGGTACAAAAAATATTTATTTATGCAACAAGTGCGTAAAGTTACCCTTTTTTGATGAATGTGAATGTTGTCGCACTCACCTACGGCTTGTGCGACACACGAGTTGTATACAATATTTTTTTTACTACCGTACACATTATCCACTAATATTAGAAATATAAAAGTTACTTTTTTCACTAGTGAACAAAAAATAAATCAATATTATTCAATTTTAAATATAAATTGGTATTACCTTAATCGAGCCAGTCGCTTATTTTTCCGTTTAATGTTGGTTTTATTTTTCCCATCTTTCTCAAAAATACACTTAACTTCTTAAAAAAACTAACTCTATACTCCTAAATGTAATTTAATCTAACTACAGCTATTCGCTAAATTAAAATATAAAAATATTGGAAACACCCTCTAATAAATTGAATTGCGTTATAACAACATCTCACAATGCACCAAAAACAACTGAATGCGGTTCTGGTTTCCCTAATTCAGGTGTTCTTCCATTATCAATTGCAGATCATAAAAACTCGTTCGGAACCTTTACCGACAATTTTGTTTGATCTGCTATAGGCGTAGATACCTACCTCATTTTATAAATTTATTTTATTAATACTTTTAATATATATCATATGCAAGAAAGTATTCGTTAAAAGGAAATCGAATAATTATAAATTGGACGTTATTATACGCCCTTATTTAGACAGATGCACTTAATTGTAATCTTACTTGGACTTAAAAAAATCATTATAGCTCGTTAACTTGCTACAACTGAATATTAAATTATAAAACGTAAAAAAGCGAGTAAAGTGTACCTGCCTGTAAGGGCGTTTGGTTTAAACAGGGTACCAGACGTGAACTGAACCCTTTTTGTACCCCATTCGTTCTTTTTCTGGAAAACGAAATTTCAAAGAAAAAACCATAAAGGAAAATAAATTCTTTGCAAATAAAACAATTCAATTCTAAAGTATCTTTATAATCATGGCAGTCTGAATCCTCTGAACTAGAGTCATCATTTGGTTGAATTATGATGGGTTGTAAAGAGGGTAATACTACATACTCATCTTCTTCTTTGATAACATGTTCAACACAGTTTTTCCAAAGCTCTTGGCGGTCTGCTGCTAGAACTTTCTTTACGAGTTCTACAACTTCTTTACTCATTTCTGGAGACTGATTACATTTTCGTAATTCTGATTTTAAGTTTGCCAATATTAACTCTATAGGGTTAAATATGCAATAGTAAGGAGGTAGTCTGAGAAGAGTTTGCACAGCTTGTCAATAATATAATACATTTTTTCTAACTTTATACCTTTAATAACAGTAAGCAATTCTTTGTTTGTTGGTCCTTTTTTACTATCACTGGCAGGAATAGGAATATCTTTTTCAGACATAAATGCTAAAATTTGAGCTTTTTTACTGCTACTATTTGGTATTTTAAGGAGTTGCCGCGAGTGGTAGGATGCGTTGTTCATAACGATTACTGACTGTGGTGGAATGTAAGGTAAAAGCTGTTCATTAAACCGTTTTTCAAATAATTCTGCTGTCATATCTTCATGATAATCAGCTGCACAGTTTTTAATTTGTTTAGCAGATAATAATAAAGCATTAGGCACGAAACCGTCTTTGCTTCCAGCGTGTACTATTATAATGCGTTTCCCTTTAGAACATGGCCCATTCAAACAGCAATTTTAACTACTGCCAACCCAACCGAAATTTACTACATCGTGACTGTCAAACCATGTTTCATCTAGATAAATTATGTGGCTATTAGAACTTCTGTAGCCTTTTATCTGACGCAAATAATCTTGTCGCCATTGAACTATCCTTGACGATTCGGTGATTGCCATCTGTTTATTCAATTTTTTGTGTTTAAAACCACATGCTGACAAAACTTGACGCAATGTTTCCAAACTGGTATAAGTGTATCCTGGAAAATCTGCCACCTTTTGCTGTATTACTTCCAATGTCGGAACCCTGTTCTCCCTATATAAACTATAAATTGTCCTTCGTATAAAATCTTGGGTAGCTCTGTCAACTAATTTCAGTTTTTCTTTACATGTTTTTCGGTTTTATGAATAATCCACAGTAACCCCTTTCGTGACTACCGGATAAACGGAAAATTTATTTACTTTAGTTAATTCAGCAATTGTTATTATTAGACATTATCAGACTGCTGAATATTTTCCTTTTTTAAACATTCGAATATATTTAAAATAACTTGTGTTTGTATATCTAAATCCTTATCGTTAAAGTCATACCTGTCTTTAATCTCACTACACTGTGCAATTTCATTTTCTTCATTCGCCCATGGTCTAAAGAACGCCATATTTATATTTATTAAAAGAAATTTAAATTAAACCAACCACACATACAAAACACACCGCACGACAGTACTCCACTGATATCGCAGACTGTCTTCCAGGAATATTTTCGAACACCTGCCTTCCGTAAACCTTCGGCCAATATAGTGCATTTAAGTTTACGATTCGATGTTTTCATTGGTAAACAACTGATGGTTCGTTTAATATTAATTTACCGCTTTGTATAAGGGGAGTAAACATTATTTTTCGTTTCTTAATTTGGCGAGTACCGTGCGTATATATTAAATATTGATGATTCCCCACATAACCGTGTTCTGCAATTGATAATAGAAGGACTATAACTCTGACTCACTCAAGACCTCTTGAACGTCGGCAGCCGTTGTAGGGAAATGGGATGGAGTACAAGATTCCAAGTTCGAACGTTCAAATTTTGTAGGTACGCTCTTAACACGCCAATAAAGCCCCTGTAGGCGGAGATAGCCAATAAATTACGTTGCTAAATGATGACGTAACTATTGTAATCGGATCCTAACTAAATTATTGAACTATTATTTCTTGTTTCGTGATAAAATCTATTAAATACAAATTTGGTATCGGCACTATAGAAAACATTTTATTATATTAACGTTGACTATTCTATTGGTTGATACAAGGGCCATATAACAAATTGCAATAATTCATATATGAAAGTACGATTTATTCGCATAACGTACGCTTTGCTAATTTTGACATATAAAGTGTTGATTATTTGTAATCGCAGTAAAAGTGTCAAAATGATCTACTTTATGACACGACCAATAGTTTCGAATACTTCTTTTAGCATTCTACAGTTTATAATATCGTGTAATAAGAATTTATTATCCAAATTGCTGACTATTTTTTCGTAGATAATTCATAGAGAGCATTTCAAATTTCTTAAATTGTATGTATACATTATTGTTTCTAATTTTGACATATAAATTGACATTTTTTATAATCCCAGCAAGTGATGATCTTATAAGTAGCTATTATGAAACCAGTTACGAAATATGCCTTATTTTATGTATCGAGTAAATATTTGCGGGACGAGCAGAGCGGTGGAATGACTAAAAATGAGTTTTTATGACCTTAATCATCCATTTTATAACAAATTAATAAATATTGCTTACATTTTCTAAAAAAAAAATAAAAATGTAGATTTGGGTTTCATTCAGAAAAGTCCGTATCTGCCATATTGGGTTGACAACATCCACGCCAAGTGATACCATTTTAAATGTTTGAAAAAGATACTTATAGCGTTTCCCTACCTTATAACTCCATGAAATTATCTAAGATTTGGCATATCATAAAGTTGTCTATTTTTAGAGGAAATCACATCAAGGCAGTAGTCATTAGATAGTTATCTTGAAAAGTGGCTTTAAATTACTAGTTAACTGTATTATTACTGCCACAGTGAAAATCTTTGGGGGGAAAGAAAGAATATAGTTATGTATCTGTGTGTCGTCACCATTAATGTGTTTAGCAATATTAAAGGCAATCTTGAAATAGACATGTATATATACAGAAGAACAGAGGCCCGAGAATGAAACCTTGTGGATCACCTTTTATGCTAGGGTATTATTATTATTATTTGAAGATATAGAATTAATTAGAAACCCGGACCTCTCGCGCAGGCAAAAATGTTTCAAGAATTTTCTAGTATAACATGATATTTATGTACTTGCTACTGGGAATACTTCGTGATATTATGTGTCTTGAGAATACTGAGAGCTTTAAATTTGTGCAACGATAAGGCAGCACTCTACAGAGACGTTTAAGAAAAAAGTGGGAAATCATCTTATTCAAAAACTACTAGATATTTCTTAAAATAAAAGGCAGCAAATTTTCATAAATTTAATACAGAATGGCGCGGATATGTTTTTTTTTATTTCTTTTAAAAATATTCAAAATAAATTCTTTTCGGAGGTATACAAAAAATTCAAGATTTCTCCACCCTAAGTTTTGTTATTGTTGATATTTCCTGAAAATTTCACAAAAATCGGACTAAAAATAAAGGCTCAGAATAAATTATAAATTTTCAAAGTGTTCGTTTTGCTCTTAAAATATTCTCAGCTTTTTTACAAAGTAACGTTTTGTTTCATTCTGGTTCATCATTTTATTACATCATTACAGCACTGAGTATGGTTAAAAGAATCTTAACAATACTCAAATTGATTTGATAAACAGCATATAATGACACCCACATAGATAAAACTAAATTAAACATGTACTAATTCTTTTTTTTATTTAGGTTAACCTTTTATACCCCCTTCATAATGAATTCTTCAAGAAATGCAAGATCACGTACCTTAGACGGATGTTTATGTCATAGCAGAAACAAAAACGAATTTCAAAACTGTATGCAAGAAGTTCGAAATATTATGTCTGCTCAATTGGATACATCGCTGCTTGACGAATTCAGAAAAAGAGTAGAAATGAACGGTTGCAGTGGTTATGCTGAAAACTGCCTCCAACAAACATAAGATTACAATCTAGGATTCAGTGAACTAAAAGTTGAGGTTTTCCATGCTGGTCTATTTCTTGAACATCATTCGTCTCGCAAAGTGGAATTATAATAAATCTAATCATAATTAATACATTACGCTCTTATTTTTTGAAATAAGGAAGGATTTAAAAAAATGTTTCTAAAGTAGGTCAAGGAGAAAGTGGGGAAGATGTAGCGTAGTATGCTAGTAAATACTAGGTACCTCTTCTACTTCATGGTTTATGAAATGTATTATATTTTGTCTTATATATGAAAGATTTTCCATAAATCTATCATTAATAAACTTTTTTTTATACCTTATTGTGACGATAGTTTAATTTATTTAAAACACACTATTTACAATTTATTCGTACTAATTAATTTATATAATACTTATTCACAATTCTAATTTATTTATTACAATTTAACTTTTCTGTCCAATACTTAAATTCAATTTCTCGTCCGTCGACCACTCGCGCTATTTATATAAAGCCCAACTCTGGGCGGAATACTCTCGGGTTTCCACAATAATCGAGAACTGCCTCTCTATGACTCATACGCCGCTAAAGCCTTGGTTTCTTTGAACACTCCGTTTTTCAGCTTCAAGTTTTAAATGTTTTTATTTATTAATTTATTTATTAATGGGTCAAAACTCATTTTACAGAATTATATAGCAAACCCAGCTAGCACATAACGTTACCAAGCCTTTCGGCGATGTTGTTTTAAGGGAACATAATAACATACCCATACAACGTAATTGCAACGTTAATGAGAAGTTGTTGAGGGAAATCAAAACCTCGCGAAATATCTATTTGTTACTTACGTATTTAACCTGCCTGTTATGATAACACAACGTAATTAAGTAACTTGCTAAAAAAGTTTCCACGAGAAGTACTATGGACTTTCGAACGTAGCCATTCTCGTTTGTCATAACCAACATAACATAAAAAAATGTCACTTGTCACTTTTTCTTGTACGTATTTCAGATTTTAAAGAAATTGGAAACTATACGTTTGAATAAGTTTGGTAAGTTGTTTTCTTCTTTTCAATAAATTTTCTAATTTATTGTTTGTTGTTTTAGATGGCAAAATTTCAATTTCCAAATACAATCAAAAATAAATCATTGTAAACAAGTAGATACAATTAAATGATGAAATATTTATTTTACACGATAATAGGGATCTTATTGATGCCTTAACGATATTAAACAATGAAAGTATCGATATTTAGGCACTGAATTACCAATACTATCGCCATAGTGATACTTAGAAGCAAGTATTGTATCGCTATGTGTGTGGTGAGAGATTATAAGGTTTGTTCAAATATTTGTACTGAAATATTTTAGTTTTTGCATGTGGTGAAACTTGGTAATATGATTAAGCGTTACCACTGTTTTTTTGTTATTTAATTATAAGGTAAATTGCCAGTTATTGACACTATAACTTGTACCAGGTAGAGTACGAAAAGGTGTCGACTACAGAATATACTTTACTGATGCACTCTTGTTATTAGTTAAGTTCCCTACTCCGTCCTGTTGAATGGGGGTTGCCAGCCGTTTAACAAAAATCTTTTACTTTTTCGTTACTTTGTTACTCGAGACTTATAAATATCAATATCTTTAACATAATATCGAACAGTATCGATGCCTCTACCACAAAGTATCTCACATGATACCGGTATTGATACCTTTGACTGATACTCAACCCTACTCCCAATTATAAAAATACAAAAACAGAGAAGTCATATACTGCCATCCTAACAAGAGAAGTCCTATCTGAAAATTTATATTTATTATCTTTTAAACCTTTTTTTGTGTAACTTTTTAACATTTTAGTACCTTTGTTACAAATAAGACATTCCTTTTCAGTATCGAGAAAGATAAAATGTAGACAAATGCACATAAAAAAAACTGCTAATTTTGCAGATAAAACCTTTCTTGCTAGAACAGCAGTATAGAAGTGCTTATGTAGTTCACTAAAGATAAATAACATTTAAATTTGTTACGTTTCAGTAAATTAAGTATTACCATTGCTGGACAGTAGTGACGTTTTGGTGGATAAATACAGCATTTCACTGGATATATATACCTATGCCATTTTGCTGCACAATACCAATTGCTGGACAAACTTTAAAAATGCTTTACAATACAGAAAAATTGCTGTAAGTATGGTCGCCCTAGTGTAATAATATTTTAATCACTAAGAATAAATTTTAAAAATATTGTGTTTTAGGTTTCCTTTGTGCTGGATTATAATTCTAGTAAAAATCTCAGGAATTTTAGAAGCTAAAGTTAATACAGAATTGGTTGAAGAAGAATATATAACATCTGAGATTATTTCTTTTTCTTTCAGAGCAGAATATCATGCTAAAAAACATTGTTCTGTATAAGTTGAACATCCATTATTAAGTATAAAATTTGTAAAAGTCAAAATAAATGTTATTATTTATTTAAAAAAACAAAGTAAGTAAAAATCAACTAAAAATAGGTGCAACGATTTAAACGAGCATATTTTTTATTTTCTTTATATATATATTATTTTCTTAATATTAATTAAACAAGTAAATTTATTATCTACAAAGTTATTTTTACGGAAGAAACTATGTAATTAAGTTCACATATTTATTTGTTTACAGTACGCTACTGATATATAAAGTTCTAAATGGTTAAAATATCAAAATAAAATAAAAAAGAAATTAATAAAATTGTCACAGTATAAAAATGAAGTCAATAGTGTAATAAAAGTTGACACTTTAAAAAATAAACCTTTTAAAATGTCATAATTTGAAAAATACTTATTGTAATTGGACATCAGTTGGTCTACAAATAAATTCTGTCCATAGTTAGTTCTATTTACATAAAATAGTTTCATATGCCTAGTAAGTCTGGCAGGAACAAGGAATCTAATAAAGTGTACCAGGCTGTCACTATCAATCAAACCGTTCAATAACTTATACAGGAAAACAAATGATGCTTCTCGACATCTGCATTCCAAACTCTTATAGGTACCTCTCAAAAATAACATCAAGATCATTTATAGTTTGCTCAAAACTTAGTCCAGAACCTGCAATGACAATCATGCATAATGATATTAGCTGTTTTATTAAACCTTATGACTTTACATTTATCAATATACACTTTTTACTACTTTTGTACAATCGTGCACCATTTTAGCTACCAGTGAACCTTTGCAATATAGGTACCTTATTATACTCTTTCGTGCAAGCGTTCAGTGTTTTCGATTCTAGTGAACCTTTGAGATATTCCTTATATACCCTTTATACCAACTTTTGTCCAATTTGTCAGTGTTTTTTTTTACCTATATTAATACCTACCTCTACTTGTATGATATTGGTTCTTGATTTCAAAAGCGTTTTAATAATAAATTTATAAATTTTTTATTTTGTTTTCTTCAGATTTTACTATATCCTCAATATACTATTTTGAATATAGTGTATCCAAGGATGGACATAACTATACTTGTAAAGATATTTATTTTAAATTGTTCAAAAGGTCTTTTTCATAATTTCTCAACGTTAATCGTATTTATTTAACAAGCAAAAGAAATTATGAAGAAGTACTTTTAAATTTAAAATAAATATTTTTACAAGTATTGTTAAGTCCATCCGTGGACACACTGTATAATACTGTAGAATGAATTCACATTATAACATCTGTAGAAAGTTTCAGAGCAACTTTCAGGGTAAGTACCGTAAAAGTGCTAGTGTGATGTTTTCCGAACTTCACTTTTTAACTTCTGTGAGATGTGCTATAAAAGTCTTGCCGTTGCGGACATTCGGTGGTTGCAGGGATGATAGGGTTACATTAACAGTACATTGCATGCGAGCTTAAAGAGCCTAAAATTGCAGCTTATTAACGTAGATGGGATGTTTTTGTGCTGGCTGGGAAGTGCCTTAACAAATATAAGTCAATTGGCAGCATTACAACGAGTATAATTAATACCACAGTATAACACTGACAGTGATTCGAATCCGTGATCCGAAACAAAGGATTCGAATCACTGGATTCGAATCTTTTTTTTTTTTGAAAAAGGATTCGAACATTGGATCCGTGATTCGAATCACATCTCGTGATTCGGATTCGTGATTCGAATCCATTTTTCGAGGATTCGTCCCAGCTCTGGAAGACAGAGGTTTTATTATAGGCGGTTGTCATATATTGTATTATCCGAGTTGCGCAGTGTATAAACTGGAACAATGAGATCAAAAGTGCCGACGCAGAGTAAGCGATCTGATTCTTTAGCTATAAACTGTGGCATAGGAATCAAAATGGCCGCTTCCTATGTTGGGCGTGTCGGATCTCTCTCTTGCACCGTATAGTAATCAAAGTATGTGACATTAACAGATCCGTTAAACGTACTTAAACAAACAAAATCACTTAAATCAGCTTAATTTGCGCAACGCACACAGTGACGTCACAAAGTAGAGCGGGGCATATGAACTTTCCAATCATTGATATAAAATAAAGAGGAGAGATGCGATGACGATACTAAAGGGTCCGCACAGTTTTAAGTCATATGTCAAACTCGAGCGTTACGTCATTTGATGACGTGAAAATAACGTTATGGTAACGTGAGAATGTCACAGCGAAATGACGCCATTCCATATCGTCATTTTGACGAATCGATATCACGTTAAAGTAACATGTATATCGGGTGTCCTAGGCTAGGCAAATTGACGTCATTATCACGAATCTACCTAACGTCAAAGTGACGTCTATATTGGGTGTCCCAAGGTTGGATGGAATTATTAAAAATACTAATCAGATAAAAGTTATTTATTTAATCCAAAAAACACATGAAACATATATTATAAAAAATAAATTAAACTGGTAAATAAAAAAGTCATGTGCAAGAAACCAAAAGGAATAAAATGGCAAAAGAATATTAGAGGAACTGACACAACATACCTAAAATTGTAGATTTGATTTTAATTGGGGGTGAGCAAGCATGCTTTACGATTTCATCATCTTCAGTATCATCGAATGACAGCTTTCTAGTTGGCACCTGTTTTCTTTTAGTAGGTACTTTATCAGCCTCGGAATGTAGATCTGAGGTAACTTCGACTTTTTTAATTTGGTACATCACTTATCATTATCATCTAAAATAAAAGAACTATTAAAATACATACCACTGAAAATTCTTAAAGCTAGAAAGTAAATTGTGTATCTAGTTGTAAAATTTAAGGGGATTACTTCACCGGAGATTGAG